TTCTGCCACGCAGGTAACGCAGTTACACTACGATATGGCATGTCTGAACGATTGTTTCCCGAATTTGGAGTGACAGCAAAAATGCCGCGATCCAATTTAAAATCGGATTTAATCTCGTAGAGTTAAACGATGTAGCGTGAGGGGATAAACGAGTTTCACCTATTTTCCAACGATCTTCCGAACTTCGATTCGGTAGCATTTGAACCGCGGTGCGGTTTCTGGTAAAGTCTCGCGGTTGAGAAGGCATCGGCACGCCGCATCGGTTATACAATCCCGGACAAAGTTTTGAACATATAACGTTTATCCGCGATTGCAGGTGATTTTAATCTAACGTGAGTCAAATGTTCACGCGCTTACATATATAGTTCTAATTTTTTGAGATGAAGAAACTTGAGAACGAACCCGGAGATCGCTACGTCGAGCGAACGATCGATCGCAGAATTTAGAAATGTTCTATGTTAATGAAGGAATTAAAGCGCGAAGCGTTAACAGTGTCATGCGTATAGCTAAACCGAAATTACAGGCAACTGTTTAACAGTACACGGAAGAAGTATTGTAGCAAAAATCGCATCAAGATTATTCACTTCATTTTACAATGTTTCTTTTGTAAAGTTGGATTATATTGTACTGACATTGACGGCGCAGTGTAAATTATCATAGAAATAGTAAATTTAGCTACTAAATATATAAAATATACAGAATATTTTTAAGAACATAAGAATATAGAAAAAAAACACTCAAATAATTACAATAATTTTGCAAAAGATCAAATGCGCATAACATTTTTCAATAAATATATAATAATTTCACTGATAATTTCTGTAAAGTCTAAGATTACAAAATTCCGTTGCAATTTCTACTACAACGTCTTCTCTCTGTGTATATATTTAATATCACAGTAATTATTATAAATTGATATTAGAAGATAATTTCAGGAAAAGATGACTTTGAAAATTTCACTTCTGCCCCACGAAAGACTGATCTTTTGATTATTAGGGAGAAAACTTGGTAGAAAAGTAGAAAGCACAGAAAAATAGAAGCCAATCAGAACTCGCACTGGTGGTCAGGTGGTAGTCGATAGCTTCTGCTTTTCTACCAATACAGGTTCTGATTGGCTTTTGCCTTTCTGCTTTTGCTTTCCTCTGCCAAGCTGTGTAAATCCTCCCTTAGAGTAGAACTGTACGTTCCCTATAGCTGATGTTCATCTGATTGCTCCTATTTTCTGTGCTCGCAGATCACAGTAACGGCTTTCGTTGATCATATATATATATATATATATATATATATATATATATATATATATACGTTCACAGGGAGTACTCTAAAAAACAGCACGGGGACGATAAGACGCGCTTTAAAAAAGTGCAGAATGCCTGCGCTCTGGGCCGCCGAACGAGCCGGTACGACAAGAATGGACGACCAAGAATAGATCCGATCGTGCGCGAATTTAACCGCTCTGATTTCAGACGAATCTTTTCAATCCCGCCTCGTCACCTGGTCAATGAAGAGAAGGCGTGCTTCGATACATTTACAGAAGTACGACATCGCTAAAAATAAATTGAACCGCGAGTCGACCGATCGGCGCGCGCGCACCATCTGTTTCTACGAGAAAATCTCCCCCCAGATAGACTTTCATGATTTTCACGACGTGAGACAATCGATGATGGAAACTTTGCACTTCCTTTAATTACAATCAGTATATTCACTTATCAAGTGAATATACTGCATTGAATTAATTATTAAATTTACATCAATAATGTAAACTTTTTTGTTGTATTGACGCAGCAACAGATTTACTGAAAGTTGCGCTTAGATTTTTATTACATTTAGCATGATGTATTGTTCGCGATAAATTTTGATCATAGTTTTTGTGTACTTTTCATGTTTCTATTTCGTCATTCTATGTAATAAATGTGAGTGTGCGATCTGATCAGTCATAAGGGAATTTTGTGATTTAATATATTTGAAGTTGCTGCAAAGTTTACGTACTACATCGGTCTATCTAATCGGGATCCTACGAACGATCCTTTATTATCTGCTATTTGGGACAACGATCCAACGAGTTCTTGCGACCATTTGCGGCAAGATTAAACCCTATGTGTCTCTGACATCTATTAATTTTCATCAACGTGACCTTACCCGCGCGTCGGCAATGTTGTTTTTATGTCGATCCTTCGGATCAACGACAGGGCACTGCCCGTTTCTATTTAACACCGTTAATAAAGAAAGAGGTATTCTTTTTCCATTGTATTTCCGAAGCTTTGTCCCATTGTATTTTCGAAGCTTTGTCTCTCTGCGTGCGAAACGCATCACGAAACTCTCGTGTAAAATTTTTGGAACTGTATCCACGTTTTTGTTGTAACCTCAGTCGCGTTTTCGTGACTGAAGTCACGTTTTCATGGCGAAATCTACTTTTTCGTAATGGTACTCATGTTTTGGTGAATTTAACATTTAACGTTTTAGTGTCATGACATTTTTTTGTAACGGTGCAAATTATATATATAACTGCATGGAGGAGACATTATAGCAGAAATTAATATTGTTGAAGAAATATTTATTTTTATATTTCTTGTAAAGCTAGACCGTATCGAAAATTATAATACAAATTACTATAAAAATAATAAATTTAACGATATAATAATTTTGTAGTAAAAAAACAAAAGTGCATAATTTAATTAATAACGTTTAATTGTTTATATATTTGTTCATAATTACATATTTATATCTTTATTTATAATTATATATTTGTTTAAAAATGATATATTTATTATATTATATTAATATAATATATATAATTAATAATATATTTGTTAAATATATAATAATCTCGTTCATGATTTCGTATAATCTGAAATTATAAAAATTTTACCGTAATTTTTACTAAAATATTTTTCCCGTGTGCAGCGTATATATTACAAAAAATTTGTACTAGTATGTGTGTATGTGTTAAGTTTTTATATGAGGTTTCCCCGCGATCGTATTTCGAAGGAGCTACGTGCGAGAAAACATAAAATCCCGATTTCATTTATTCATCAAAAATAAACGAAGAAACGATATAGAGCTCAAGGTCCCTAGTACTCACGATTTCTCGTGCCGTAATTCACAGCAGTTCGAACTGCTTAACAGTCGGCTGATACACTTGGTTGCATCGTGACCGTAGACGCGTTGCATTTCCGCTGCGTTCGATCATTTCGTTTTTATTCCCTCCAAATTCAGTGGCAACAACGTCGGCCACGGCGGCACTCGCGGTTAAACCTCGAAACTCGATTTCGGTTCACTGTCGCGCGAACAAAGAGACCGTCGCGAATCGCCGATCCGACAGCCGACGGGAGCGGTACCCGCGTTGCACCGAGACTGCAGCGCGAGGATCGCTGGAGAGGGGTGATGGTCGAAGGACAGCGTGCTTTTGCCCACGAATTTTGCTCGTCCCGATGATCAGGCGTGCGCAGAAATTCCCGAGACGTGAATTTTCAGAACGACGAGAATAGCTAGGCGGGATCGTTACGGGTCGATTGGTCTAAGAGTGCAGCGAGAGAACTTTCTTCCGTTTTCTGCACACTTATCTACGGACACCTTTGCATCGTCTGGGCGAGAGTATTTTTGGGATAATTAATTTATCGGGGAACGCGAAAAGCAACCGCGATAATGAGTCCTCACAGTGAAGCGCGGAAAGTGTACAGATAGGACCTGTCGGCGTCCTTCGGAAAATTTTGCCTCGGTCTGTGCATATTTCTCACGAGACATTTCCCGAGACATTAATCCGATCGTTAACAACAATATCTTGTCTGCGACGTTAGCAATATTTTCGACGATATAGACGGTTCAATGAAAGAAGACGTTCGAGAGGAGGGCACATGCGTGCACGCAATCGCGCGAATTTACCTGAATCTCTCCTCGGGCTGCCAATTGCTCCGATATTAGGAAGCGCATGAAAGTGTCGGCGATTCCGTGCAAAATTCACTCGGCTCCTCCACACACTCTCGATTCCCTCACGAGAGACTACTGAGAACGCCACGAGTTACTGTCACAGAGATCGTCATCGATCATTTTTTCGTGAACAGACCGCGTCGAGATAACACAGACGCGTGCACAAACTTCACGATTTTCACGCGAGAATTAGGAGTCCTGAATGCGCGATTTCGCTCTGATCACCACGCACTGACACATGGCCGAATGCGCGGCCGTTTCCCACTGATCATGAATGAAAATTGCTGGTGTCCTCCGCGTTTTCGGCCTCGATCGAACGAGCGCGTCACGAAGAACGGTCTCGTGCGCGCGTTCACCGAGCGACGTGTGACGCGCGACGTGACGCGGCGCTGCGCTGCGCTGCGAGGGCCCGAAGGGTTGTAACGAGCGCGCAACGCGACAAGGGCACGAGCAGGACGCGGTCCCCTTCCAGCGTGAGTCGTCTCTCAGGTGCGACAGGTGCGGAAGGTGCCAAGAGCTCTGCGCGTTCGCACCTGACACAGTGCGACACGGCTCGCGGCTCGCGAGGAACTGGCGGACTGCGCGCCAACGCAAACTCACCCAACCGCCCCTTTTCAACCGAGGAGACCGACCGACCGACCGACCGACCGTGCGTGGAGCAGGTACTACTATACCATCCTTGCCTCCGTAGAGCCCGTGCCGCCGCCGCCAGTCGCCTCCCCTACCCTCGCCAGCGGCCGACCTTTCGACGTACATTCCCATTTACCCCCGGAGTTACCCCAGGTCCGGATCGACGCGGTTGGGATCCTGCCGACCGGTGGCGACGACGACGACGACGACGACGACGAAGAATTCGACACGTACACCTGTCGCGACATTATTTACATGCGATATCGACGCCTTCCTCCCGGGATTGTCTCGCCAAGCTCTTTCTTCTCCACCTTTCTACTCTCTTGATCCCTATCCTATACATACACACACACACACACTCTCTCTCTCTCTCTCTCTCTCCCTCTCTCTGTCTCTCTCTCTCTCTTTCTCTCTCTCTCCCTTTCCTGCCCCTTCTACCTCTTTCGACTTCGGGTCGATACAATGCGAAGGATGACGCGGCAGTTTACCGAAAGTTCGTTGAGTAAACGTGAAGGAATTTAGAGATGGTTCTCGCTGGATTTTCGGAAAAATGTTGTGAGTTTCGATCTTCTCAGAAGTCGGGTTCTAATGGGAAAACACGTGATTATAACTCAGAAATAGATACCAGTAAATATTTTATCGCGTGGACGGTTCCAACACGAAACTGATAAAAAATGCTAGAATCGCTTTCAATTTGTTTCGACAAAGCTGACGATAATTTGAGCATATTGCACACAACTTATTTGAGAGATTACACAAGTTTTCTTACTCGCTCTTCCTCCTTCCCCTTTGTTACGACTTTTTTCATAATAATGTACGTCAGAAATCTCTTGTTTCCGAGAGAAATTGTTATCTTGAGAATACATTCTTCTCTTCCTTAAACTTTTATTCTCCATAAGTTCGTTAAACGACTGTAAAAAACGACGCATGCGTTTAAAGGGCATGAAACGTTTGAGCTGGAGTGTCCTGTTCTATAAACCTATATAACGCGTGACGTCATGCCTGCCCTCAGTTGCGTTAAAACAAACAAATTTACGTTGCCAACAGGACTAGTATATGTACGTCAACATGTGTGGCCACGATGTACGGGGTGCGCCAAAATATTGTATAATACTTTAACACTTTAATTAGTCGAGAATGTGAAAATGCCTAAATCACGATAATTGACTAGTGATATCGCAAAAATTTCGCGTGTTTTACGCGCATGCGTATACTGACACGTTGTTTGTCACTGATAAACTCGCGCGAGCATAGAATTAAAAATATATTTCCAATATAAATAATAAAAACATACTTAAATTGTATATAAATAGTAAAGTAGTAAAATAGTATATAAATAGCAAAAGTATGCTTTTAATATAAATAATAAAAAGTATATTTCCAAATATACGCAGTTTCACGAAATAACGCATAACTGTCTTATTTTTCGCCAAAAATCAATGCAATTTACGTCGACACATGCACTACGTAAGAAGAGGCTTTATGAACTTTAAAATTTTACGCTCACTATTATGCGTACATTTCCATCGACGTCCAACCAGGTCCACTGACGAAAGCCGCAACTGCATCCTGAACCGCATCCGTCCAGCATCCAGAAGCGTTCAACCGGCATCCCACGTCGACTGCATTCACTCACTTCATTACACTCGCGAGCACGATTATTTTACCCGCGATTTACGATTTATCGAGAAGCACGTTAAAGTCCAGCACTCCGAGGCACACGTGCGAAATGCCTGTGAAAAATCGCAATCCAATATCGCCGTGCTTTTGATAAAAACGCGAAAAGAAAATAAGACATATTGTTTCACTGATCGCTGAACTTATAAAAAAAAACAAAATTTTTGTCCCGCGAAGATTACTATTTTTTAAATAAATGGTGCATTTATACACCTCAATGGTAGCAATAATTTTACTGAAATTATATTCGTGGCGGTTTATAACACCATTTCACAACACACGCGGCGAGAAACGCGTATAATAAATACTGATAAAGAGAACCCGCGCAATTAAAAAATTCGCGATTGAAGCAAATATGCGGAATATGCGAGGCAGACGAGAAATAAACATCGATCGATTCGATCGCGAAATACGTTAACGCGATACAAGAAGTGTAATATTCTTACGCAAAGGATTTCGCAATATTCTTGCGAAAATTGTTCCGCAATATTTTTACGAAGATTGCTCCGCAATATTTTGGTGAAATTCAGACTCTTAGAATATTTCCACGAATTTCATTAAATGAAATGCGTATTTCCTTAAGATCGCGAACACGTACGGAAGTATACGAAAACTAGAACATGACGATCGCAGAATTTGCCGCTGTGTATACGCGAGTAAGATATAATCGTAAATTTCTGTACATATACATATCGAATGAAGCAATAATTTAATTAATGAAATGACTCGTAACGAATTATGTTATTTCAAAATTTGTGGCGCAAATCGCGTGTAAATGATACTGATAACCCGCAAAATTAAAATTAGCAATTGATATAAACGCAATAAACGATGAATACCAATCGATTCGATCGCGAAATGCGTTATCGTAATATATAGGAGAAGTAGCGTGAGATTCTCACGCACAACACTTCGCAATATTTATGCGAAAACTGCTCTGCAACATTTTTGTGAAGATTGTTCCGCAACATTTATACGAAGATTGCTCCGCAATATTTTTGCGAAGATCGCTCCGCAACACTTTTGCGAAGACTACTCCGCAATACTTTTGCGAAGTTCACTTTCAGAATATTTCCACGAATTTAAATAAAATGTGTATTCTTCTAAAACTGTAATCGCGAACACGTACGGAAGTATACGAAATTGAAAACTGGAATATGACTATTACAAAATTTGCCGCTTTGTACACGCGAGCAAGATGTAGTTTTAAGTACTTTAATTTCTATCTATTCAAAAAATATTATTGTGAACGTACGCAAAGATTTTAATTTTTCAATTTCGGTTTATATACTTTTTCATTCGACACACTTTGCGTGAAACATTATGTAAAAGATAAAAAATTTGAAATTAAAACTACCAGGAATTAACATGTCTGAATCATTTCGTGAGAAATCCAAAACAATTGATGGAGTGAGAAATTAAAAAAAAATGATTGACCGAGAGAATCGCGAAATCTATCAATGTGAGAGAAGTATTCGCGGATTCTATGTATGTATGGTAGTGTAATCCCAATGTGCTTCATACATTACTCAAAATAATTAGGAAATCACAATAAAGAAAAATTTCGTTGAATATATTTAAAGTTCGAATTGTATAAAGAATAATTAGGTCATCTACATAATTTAATCGGTATAAATGATTTGCTTACAAATATTAAAAGTAGATATTTGAGGTGAAAAAGCATTCGATATTTTAAATATTTAATAAAGCATACATTTAAAGAATTGATTCCCTAGTTGTTTTGAGTAATATATTTTATACGACACATACATACATACATATATACATATATATATATATATATATATATATATATATATGTGTGTATGTGTGTGTGTGTGTGTTTGTGTGTGTAAAAACGTATAACAAAACTATAATCAAAGTAAATTGCATTGATTCTGACGATTTTAATAAATGTCTACCACCATAAAAATCTTTGTACCATCACCTTTCATTTTTAGGCCTATTTCTTGCACTAACTTGAATCATCGCCAATTCAAAGCCGGCCACATTCTGTTTTCAAATCTGGAACAAAAAATATAATTTTGTTGATTAGGTTTAAGTGTTTGATTTAATGAACAAGAGAATGGAGATAGAGTATGTTATTGCTTTACGATCGTATAATTTTCATTATTTGTTTTTGATATAATTCTCATTATGTTTGTTCTTAATATTTTCAAATAAAATTTTTATCCGGATATTCATATTTCAGCTTTTAACTATAAAGAGTTAGTTAAAGGAGAAGTACGAAGAAAATCGGCAAATTTACCTTCGAGACATCTACCTCTGCTCTGCCCGAACCGGATCTTCCGGTGCTGCGTCTGTATGGATCGGAACTGTAACTGCCCTCGATATGCAGCTGCAAGCTTTACCAGGTCTAAGCAGAAAATAATTTTCGTATTTAGCAATAGAGAAAATGTTTAGTTAAAAATCGAGAATAGGAAGTCATTCGATGCAAGAATAAATGAAAGGTATGAAGAATATCAAGAATGGATTCTACAAACTAAATTGCAATCAGATATCAAGAATGGAAGCTGTAAACGTATATTCCTTCTTTAGATACAATAAAAACTAATGTAATCATCCTATATCACCTTTTGTATTTTACTTCCACTGATAGTCGCCACAATAATTGCATTTGTAGAATATCGTAATATATTTTCACTTATGTTATAATAAATTTTAAATAGCCAGAAATAGAGCCTACGACATCATCTGATGTGCTTACTATCACGTCAAAGACTATTATTGAGTTTGTCGTAACAATTGAATATATATATATATATATATATATATATATATATATATATATATATATATATATATATATATAT